GTTGTTGGTGGTGGTGGTGGTAGTGCTGCTGGTGGTGGTGGTGGTGGTGACGGTGATGGTGGTGGTGGTGGTGGCGGCTGCGGCGGTTATGCTAGCGATGTTCCAAGTCGTTGAGTGTAGTTCCGACTCGACAGCGTCCGTGTTCACATCGGCTGTTCCAGGCAATTCAAAACTCGAAGTGAGGCGCTCCAACAAGCCGCCGGCGCCCCTAAATCCTGAAATGCTAGAACCTCAAACCTCCAGCCCTAGGGCCCTAATCCTAGACTTTGTAACACCCTGAAGTTTAAACTCATGTTCGTAAGGTTCTTCCTGAGGGCACCTTGATCCATCTATCTTTTCTCAACCCCTCAACTCAAGCTGGCCTATGTATGAGACCTTTACTATTCAACCCACAAACCCTGAAGCCCCTAAACCCTAAACCCGAAAAGCCAAAACCCTCAAGCCCTAAACCCTAAATACCCTACACCCTATACCTTAAATTACCCTCAAGCCCTAAACCCTAAATACCCTAAACCCTATACCTTAAATTACCCTCAAGCCCTAAACCCTAAATACCCTAAACCCTATACCTTAAATTACCCTAAGCCCTAAACCCTAAATACCCTAAACCCTATACCTTAAATTACCCTACGCCCTAAACCCTAAATACCCTAAACCCTATACCTTAAATTACCCTAAGCCCTAAACCCTAAATACCCTAAACCCTAAATACCCTAAACCCTATACCTTAAACTACCCTAAGCCCTAAACCGTCAAGCCCTAAACACAGAGTCTCCCAACCCGTGAACTGATGAAGTGCTTCACAACTGGTCCTCATGAGGTACAATCGCTCTTTAGCTAGGAGTTTGTGGGTTTAGGGTTTAGGGGCAGGGTTGCATTATAGGGGCCTCAGGTATCGCAAATTCTTTATTAGGGAGCCCTGAGGAACAGTATTGGCAAGTTTGGCAGGTAAGTGTGTGATGGATTTAGGGGTGTGTGGTTCAGGGTTTAGGTTTTGTACATTCCAGAAATCCGAGGTCAAAAACCCGATATGCGACAGACCCTACAAGCCCACAGGCTCAGCTTTTCTTCACCTACCTTGACCTACCAAAAACTTTGTTTGTAGGTTTCTAAAAATTTATTGAGATTTTTGACAGCAACCTACAACAAAGCAGGTTCTGGTAGTTTAGTCAAGCCTCAACCCCGGCCACAGCTTGGGGACCATCGCCAGCCCTTTGAAAAGCTTCGTTCACCTAAGTACCTCCTTGTACCCGAAAAGCTCTATACTCTCAACCTTAAACCCTTAACCCCAAACCC